TTGCAGAGCTAAGTATTATGAATTCCTACAATATTTTCATCCTGCATTATAGCAGGCAATTATGTACCTACGTTTTTAAAATTCTGGAGCCAGACATAGTGGTGCACACCTGGAATCCCTGCACGAGGTAAACTGAGGTAGCAGGATCATGAGGTCATCAAAGCCAGTGGATACCATAGCGAGACACTGTATCAAACACACATCCCAATTTTTATGATTCCCTTTCATTTCCTATTATTTTAAGGAAAATTCAAGACATAATCTTTTTTCTCTTTAGCTTTTTCATCTATAACTTTTATTGTGTATCTCTGAAATATATTAACTTAAAAAATCTAAACACAGTATCATCACACCAAAGATAACAACAATTTTATATTGTGAAACAGCCAGTTTAATTGTCATAAATATCATAATGTTGTTAAAAAAATAGCTGAATGAAGGTCCTTTTGCTCCATTTGGATGGAAATCACAAATAAGCAAGGAGCAACCTCTGAATTGGCAACCCAGAAGTTATGGAATCATAACGCTTTTAAAGCCAGAGGCTTATATTTTCAAGTGCTCTGGTGAGAAGAAGCTCTGGGCTTTCAAAACCTGAAGCTTATGGCTCTATGCCCTGAAAAGCAATCTTTTGACTCCAATCTCTCAAAGACTGTTTTTCAAAGTCTTTCTTCACTTATAACTCTAGGTGCTCAGGTCAAAAGTGTATTATTCTGAATGTTGACTGTTGGAATTTTATGCTATCAATGCACCCAGAAGCTGATATTAAGATTTTGAGTTCAGCTCTTAATCCCTAGCAGCTCTGTGAACTCTTCCAGTGAACAAGACTTGCAGCTCCCAGTCTCATATTTGAGACTCATATTTGCCTTTGACTTGTCACAGCCTCTTGCCTTCAAGAATCTCAACTCTCCAGTCACCCTCTGAATTCTTCAGCTTCCTCTTTGTTTCAGAGCTGTATCTAAATAAGAATCACTAGGTACAGATTAGTACTTTTAATTTATACATGTAGCACTTTTAACTTATAGTAGATTCCCCTTTAGTTTATCCTCCCTACCCTCCAATGTTGTATCATATTTTTAGATACACTGAGTTAGTTTTGTAAAGTTTTTCAGGTTTTTTCCATTACCTGTCTGTAGTGTCATTTAACTTGTTCCTCTCCTCACTCTCCTCCTTTAAATACGGCAGTCTGGACTAAGAGACTTGATATAGACCTCTAGTAGGTGAGGCAAGAAGACCGTAAGTATGATAGAAAGTTGTTGGAGGGTTTTGAATACAGAAGCAGCATGATTTCTCTTACATTAATATTGGTTAACTCTTTCTGCTATATTAAGAATAGACTATTAAGAGGGTCAGGACAGAAGCAGGAAGTCTAGTTGGAAGGTTATTGGGTTTTGCAGGGGAGAGATGAGGTGGGTCAGAGTAGGATGGTGACATGGGAGGCAGTGGGAAGTAGTCAGATGCTGAATATATATACTTTGGAAAGTATAACCACAAAAAAGTTTTTTTCCTTTTACTGGTGGTCATCCTTATACTCCTGTTCCTGACCTAAAATAAATTATTCTAACATATAACTAATAAAAAACATTTGATAGATATACTAATGACACTAGGGATATTATGTTTTACCCCTAGTTTTCTAAAAGGTCCTACCTCCTTCTGTAAAATTACAAATGTGCTTTTTCCATATGTGGTAATATGGTATTTCAGTTTTCTAATGTAGTACAATCATATCATTAGTGTGGGAAGCCCTAATTGATTATCACATATATTATATTGGTTATACTTATTTGTCTGTGTATATGTGTATATATAAAAAATAGACTCTCTAATTTGATTTACAGGTATTTATTTCAGTTCACTGGTATGTTCCTATGTGAGACTGATACGCATTTTTCATTCCTTGGGCTATCCTTTCTAGTTTTGTTAGTAAGATTAGATTTGACCCATAAAAGGATTTTTCCTATTTTATTCTCTGGCACAGTTTACATAAATAATGTTTACCAAGAAGAATTAGTAGATATCAAATCACCTGAGCTTTCTACCTAGGTTCAATTGCTTTTTTCAGAGATACACCTTTTGAGTTCTTTTTATAGTCTTTGCCTGTAAACATGTTTTTTTAGCTTTTCTAATCTTCACTGGAAAGAACTGTTATGGTAAACATTATTTCTTTGGTACTTTGAAGTTGTTATCCTATTATAGGCTGGCATCTATTCTTGCTAATGTGAAGTCACTATTAGTCTAATAGCAATTACTTTCTCAGTGGTTCCTTAACTTCTGTTTTTAAGTTTAACTTTGATGTTCTGCAGCTCCACAACAATATATCTAGAAGTAGGTTTATTTTTGCCTTCTTTATGCTATTCCTGATTATGAGACCTGGAAAAGTCATAGCTATGATCTCCTGCAATATTACGTCACTCCCATTTGGTAACGCATACTGGTCATATTAGATCTAAGACTTGTCTTTTTCTTTTATAATTTGTACACTCATATTTTCAACTCAATGTGTATATGAATTGCAAGCATTGTTAGTGAACTGAGATAAGTTCAATGACTATAGTTTTCATTTGTAGATTTTTGAAATATTCTTTTTAAACTCTGCCCATCTTTTTCCTGAGTGTTCTTTTTTATATATGACCATTATATATTGTTTACTCATATTATATACTCTTCCATGTTTTTCTTTTCTCTTTTTTTTCCCATGGTACTGGGGTTTGAACTAAGGGACTCATGCTTTATAGGCAGGCACTCTATTATTTGAGTCATGTCCCCCATCCTTTTTTGCTTTTTTAAGTTATTTTTTTAAGTAGAGTCTTGTGTTTTTGCCCAGGGCTAGTCTCAGACTGCAATCCTCCTGCCTACAGCCTCCTACACAGCTAGGACCACAAATACATGGTACCGTACCAGCTTATTGGTTGAGATGGGGTCTCACTAACTTTTTTGCCTAGGCTGGCCTAGAACTACCATTCTTCTGGTCTTCACCTACCAAATAGTTAGGATTACAGGCATGAGGCACTATAGCCAGTCTCTTTCATATTTTCTATTAACTCAAATTGTTGAAAGTCAAACTGGTGCCCAAATTCGTATGTGGTCTGTGGATTTTTACTGTGCTTATCATTATCAGTGATTCCTATTTTGGGGTATAAAATTATTCAAGAATATTTCATCATGGGGAGTGTGTTAAACTTTCAAATACATAATCAAGTGAAGAATATATTTTTTATTCACTTGAAAGAAGTTGTTTGTTTCACCAAGTTTGAATCTCAGGTCAATATTAAATTTAAACCTAACAAAGAAATGAAAATAAATTCAACATTTATTCTTAAGCAAATGTAAGTGAATTATTTTTTATATTTGTACTATGTAGGTAGGAAAAATGTCTATTTTTAGGGTCAATTCAGTGTGGTCAGACAACTCCTGACTCTGCTTCCTCTCTATCTTCATTCCTTCTCTTTTATAGGTTTTTATCTCCAGTTTCAACTTACAAAATCATATATCCAAAACTGTTGTTATCTGTTCCATGAGACATTTTTCTCCAAGTACCTACTCTGCTTTTGAATTCTCATAGGTCATAGTTCATCATTCCATTTTTATACTTAATAATTTTGTATTAAAATGAAATGGACATGTGCAGGATAATTCTTATAGAGAAAATCTCTACAAGATTGTGACAGTGTTCTGTGTTACTCACTTTCATTATTTATGATTTTTATCTTTACTGTGTGACTAAATATTTTGATATGAACTAAAAAATAAGTACAGAGATCAAGTTTACTATAAGTCACATGTCCCCTACAAATAAAAGTTAGATAACACATGCCACAAAGTTTTCATGTAATTAAAAAAAATATGATACATGAGTTAAGTTGTCACATAGCTCATAGTGGAATGGACAAGGCTAAAAAAGTATCAGTCACTGATTCAGCCAGAGCTATGTCATATTTGTGGAATTTACTTCAACCGAACTGAGTGATAAATTAATATTGATTTGAAATGTCTCAATGTGTGCTTACTTTAATTTATAAATGTTTTGGTTTTGTAACTGTTTTGTACACATGAGGTATATGTACTCAAGTTTACGTTTGTATATAAGTATCGTATAATCTAAATAAATTCCAGGATTCTGTTAAGGCTTTGTTTTAAAAGAATTTATATATCACTCTAAATTAGGAAATACTGATACAGACTACATACTGTCACAGAGACCAGAGGCAGAAGAAATTAATGCTAGCAAACACCAACTTGGATTGTAGTTGCCTCTTGCTTATATAATGAAAACACATGATTTTTTATTCATTATGTTCACTAACCATTTGTCAAATAATCTAGGAAGAAATTTTTCCAGATTTTCAATAAGTGTAGTTATTGGTTGTTACCTAAATATCCTAATTTAAAAATAAATGAGTGGGTTTTTTTTTATGTTTAGTATTTTATTCCTTTAACCAGTATCCCATGTAACTTCATACTTTCCTAATTACAGTGTACAGTTTATAACTTGTAAGTTGTACAGTTTATAACATGAATAATTATTGTGTAAGATGTTTCAGATACCTATTACTTGAAATATCTCTTAAAGTTTATTTTTGATAATCTTTATTTTTAAAAATTAACAAAAGTTGATCATAGAATATCTTAGTTTCTTAAGAATCCAGTGTGAATTTTAAAAGCATGCTTTTATTCAACAAACATATCTAACCAGAACTATTTTGTTAGTGAAGAAAATAATTTTGGATATCACTTGACCTTAATTTTATTAAAATAAGTATTTTTATGACATAAAATTTAAATTAATAAGACTGACTGAAAATTCTAATTGAGTTACCAAAGTATACTGTAAATAATTTATTTTGTTTGTATTCAACATTACTTTTAACTTACCATTCTTGTTGCAAAAGAAACCCTTGTCTTTTAGAGAATACAGTAGTATTATTTACATTAATTCATATGGCTTGGTTTAAAAAAATGCTATAACTCCTTTACTTAATGGGATTCTTCCCCTGTGGCAGTGCAAACGGCTAGAGCAGGAGCTTCATCATCTGAAAGAGCAGAACCAGACTTCAGCAAACAACATGAGACATCTGACTGCTGAAAACAATCAAGAACGTGCTCTGAAGGTAAATCTCCGTTCCTTCTTGCAGGCAAATTAAGGTTGTAAGCCCTTGGTGCCAGCTTTCTGTGCTGCATATATCAGTTGTGTACATTTCAGCAGAAGTGAGCTGTGGTGTTTGCCAACAACCCCTTCTTTAAACACAGATACAGCACCCTTCTGCTATGGTATTATTTTATTTCATGTATGTGTACGTGAAAACAGCATATTTTCTGAATTTTGAGTGTGGTATATGAGTAACACTTTGTCCATATTCATTGCTTTTTTGTTTTAAGTTATTATCTTTAATAGTTAATAAAAAATGACCACACTAAAAGAAAAAAATATTAGATCATGGGCCTTTTCTTTGCATTGTATTTATTATAATATTTTTAAATGAGTTGTAAATATTAGTAACCAAAAAAACTGACGTTCATTGAAGGTTATGTGAATGTGTTTGAGAATTGAAGAAATATTTACAGTGTTACAGCAAAAGAGGAAAAAAAAGTAATGTATTCTTCTGGAACTTGAAACAATGACAAATTCTGTCATTGTAGAGCCAATCCAGCAATCACCAAGAAGTACATTATTTTGTCTCTACTAATTATATTTTTTTCTTAAAATGCATGTGAATCTCCACTCTTTTGCTTTGCCCCAGTTTTTGTTATTGTACCTGTGCAACAGCAATAGTCTTTACCCTCAAGGTGCTTTCATTCTCACTAATAAGTTTGAAAAACATCTAAGGCAGACAAAAGATTCATCATTATTTTTATTGCACACTAAGAAAAGATTTGCACCAAAAAAATTGTATTGAATCTTATTGCATTAAATTCATTTTTGTTGCAGGTTATAGGGAAATATCATGGTAATAACAGCGTAAACTCTAAACCAGAATTGGAAAAAAAAATCATCCCCCAAATTTGAGGAACATTTTGATGTGGAAAATACATTAATCTATCCAGAAAGTGTGAGGTTTGGTAGAAGTTAGATTTTCCTAAAAATGTATTTAACTCTATTTTGAAATTCTTATTGATAGACTTGTAACTTTATAACTGTTGAATGCATTTTCTCTTCTTTTCTATTGAATTTATTGATAGACCAGAAAGATAAGTAAGAGAGAATTACAGATTGCTATGAATATTTTTAATTACCCCCCAAGGGATGGGCTATTTTGTGAAAATTAAGTGTAAGAATTTTTAAAATGTGTACTTGCAAAATGGAAACATTGTTTTACCAGTGTCTTCTATAATGCATGCTGATTTATTATCAGTGTCAAGAGACAGATTTCATGTGCTCAATGTGGTAACTTTTTCCTTTTACAACAGGGCTAGTTTGATAAATATGTGGGAGTTGTACAGTCTTTATCTTGGCATTTTTGATCACGTGTTTATGTTAAATTTAATTAAATGGTGGCTACTACTTATGAAAGGAAAAGATACACATTTCTAAGAGCTTATTAAAATTAGAAGGAAATAAATAGATCCAAAGAAAAATGGAAGTTCAAGACAAAAACAAAGAGATTTATATTTTATAAATCTCTTTAGAGTATAACATTTCAAGTAACATGTAAATATAGCTCATCTTAATTCCTAACAGAAATACTACATTAAAATCTTTTATAGTTGCTCTTTTCCTATAAAAATCTCGTATTTTCTGTTGTCTCTTAATCCATGGTAACTTCATTTGTTAACTAAAACCAGTTTAATTCATCATAGATTAAACAGAGGAGGAAGAATTAATTTTTGAAAACTCTTATCAACTCAGTCTCTCTTATGCCTCTTTATTCACTTAAATTCTTTTTAAATGTCTGTTGTGCATGACACTGACTTTAAATCATTTTTTGCTTATTTCATAACATTTCCTTAGGAAACCTAAATTTATTATTAAAATTAGGTTTAAAATACTATTTATTCCAAATCACATTTTTAAAAGTATTCTTTATAGGAATGTTATTTTTAGTGATATTTATAGTGTTTTGTATCTTTTTGCTGTCATGTAAGTTATGGATAGAAAGTTTATTGTTACCCTATCTGGCGAATAAGATGTCTACATTCAGCTTATCTTTTACAACCCATTTATATGCCTCTTTTTTTCTGATTTAATATTTAGTGATTAAATGAATTTTGGAGCATTTTTTAAAAAGTGTCACTGTCCTTAAGAGCCTTCAGTCTCTCAATATGTTTCTAATATTTTATCATAAATAGTATCCTTTTTACTATCATTAATGAAGTTAAATTTTAGCAGGGTAAGAGTTGAATATTTTATGCCTTATTTCATTGAATTGTACTGAAATTTCTGAAAGAAATAGTTGTGGACATGTGTCTGGGGGAAAATCAAAATTAACGGTCATTTATTACTTAGAACTTTCCAAAATAATGATTACGACAGTTGCCAAACAAGGAAATTCTTTCCAATAATCTCATGTCATTCAAATACTAATGTCCTTATTTATTCAACAATCAGAAAATTCTTTCTAAATTATTTTTTAAAGGAGAGCATAAGATTAGTTTCTTGGTGATTATTTATAAGCATTCTTTTTGATGTAACAAGGAATTACAGTAGCTGAATTGTGTAGCCATGGCACTTTTTCTTCTATTTTCAGTTTTCCCAAGTAAAACACAGTGATACCTACAGAGTAAGGAATAAAATTATACTAACTGTAGTATATACCCTGAGAGGGACTTAAAAAAACAACAACAACTAATTTTCTCACTTAAATCATCCACTTAATATGAAGAAATTTGTTTCTTGGCTAGGTGCATGGCTAATGCCTGCAGTTCTAGCTACTCAGGCAATAGAGATTGGGAGAATCATGTCGCAGGAGAGCCCAGAAAAAAAGTTAGCCAGACCCCATCTCAACAAGAAAACTGGGTGGTGGTGATGTGTGAGTATAATCCCAGCTGTGCAGGAGATATAGGTAGGAAGACTGCTGTTTGAAGACAGCTCTTGCAAAAAGCACAGGAACCTATCTGAAAAATTAAAGCGAAAAAGGGTGGGGTGTGTGGCTCAATTGGAAGAATATCTGCATAGCAAGCATGAAGCACTGAGTTCAAACCCCAGTTTACCAAAAAAAAAAAAAGAAAGAAAGAAAAAAATTGTTTCTTGAAGAACATATTTTTGGACTTAAGTGTTTTCAAAAAAAATTTAAATCAGCCATAAATATATAGACATTAAGCTTAGTAAGAAAGTTCATATATACTTCTTTTCCTTCTTAATATTTTAAATTTATTTTCCTTATCACACATTTTTAACCTCCTACAATTAGAGTTTTCCAGTGTAATTCTGTTGAAAGCCATTCTTAGATTGTAAGTGACCTCTGATAGTCAATAAATCTGTGATATTTATTGTTCATTATGATACTCAACATCCCAGTTGATCCACGGAGAACATCCTTCAATCTTACTGGCCTCTCTCTCTTGAAACACTCTCCTATAATTCTTTATTGCTATTTCCTCATCATTTTTCTCCTGATTCTTTTCCTTTTGATTGCTGAAGCCTCTTTTTCTACTTATTCCTGAAGTTTTCATAGGTTATATAATTGGGCTCTTATTCTTTTTTTATTAAACTTTTTAGAGCAGTTTTAGTTCACATCAAAACTGAGCAGAAAGTAGAGAATCCCATATATCTGCTGCCTCCACATAATCACAGCCTCCCTCATATCAACATCCTGTTACCAGAGTGAGACATTTGTCTACAGTTAGTGAATCTACCTTGACACATCATTATTAACCAAAAGTCTACAGTCTACCTTAGGATTTAATTGTTCTTTACACATTCAGAGGGTTTTGTTAAATATGTAATATTAAGTAATCATTATAGTATCATACAGAATAATTTCACTATTTGAAAAATCCCATGTTCTGCCTGTTCATCCTTCCTAAACCCCTCACGTCTGGCAACCACCATTCTTTTCCTTGTTTTGCCTCTCTCTGCAGTTATACAATATATAGTCTTTCCCTATTGGCTTCTTTCACTTAATAGTATACCAAAAACGTTCTTCCATATTTTTGAGGGCCTATAACTCATTTCTTTTTAGTGCTAACTAATTTTCCATTATTTAGATGTATTACCATGTATTTATTCATTCTGTACTGAAGGACTTACTGGTCACTTAGTAGTTTGGCAATTATGACTAAAACTCCTGTAAACATCTGTGTGCAGGTTTTTGTGTGAACAAAAGTTTATCAAGAAGTGCAGTTGCCATGTCATGTGGTAAAAGTAAGTTTAGCTTTGTAAAAAACTGCCAAATTGTTTGTCTTAGTGGCTGTGCCATCTTGCATTCCCATCGGTAATGAATGAGAGTTTACATGTTCCATATCCCTACCAGCACCATGTTTGTTTTATTATAGTCTTTTCTCTTCTCTATTTCATGTTTCTGTGACATCCCCTATTACATATGTACTAATTACTGTTAGGTCTGACCTTTCATTCTGGTATCTTAGTGTCTCCTTATATAGTGAATTTTAAACCAAATGCCTAATTTGACTTCTTAAGCCTTTTCCCTGGGAAGAAATCAGGACCTCAGTGGGAGACCATTAATTGTACAACTTAACATTTATTTCTGGTCATGTTCTCCTTTGCATTCCTTTGAGCAGGAAATTTAAATACTTTCACAGCCTTTCTTTTAACAGTGAGACAGAAGGAGTCTACAGCAGGGGTAAGTAGGAGAAGGAGGAGTGTTGCTTCAAATTTTTTGTTTTCCTGATATAAAGGTAGATGAAGCAGCCACCATTACTCCTTCCCTTATTACCTTGAATGCTTCTCTGCTGGATAGAACTGTAGCAGCTAGTCTTAGAGGAAGTGCCAGGGGGAGCTGTGTGACATCACTGAGCCTCCTAGTCAGTGAGCTATGGGGAGAGCATTAAGTACCTCATAGCTGAGTTCTTTTTATGGTGAGAGAATAAAGTCGTATATTTTGAATAATTTTAATGTTTTATTTATTGCCAGTTGATTCATTAGTATCTACTAATTAATGGTAGTACCATCTTCCTAGGCATGTAGACTAAACTAATTGGCATAATTTTTGTA